CGCCGCGCCGCGCCGGGCTCCCGGCCACCCCGAGGCAGCCCCGGCCCAGGCGAGACCCGGCCTGGGGTCAGGATGCGGCCCTGGAGCCAATCAGCTTGCGGGTTCCATAGTGTCTGGTTGACCAATCAGCTTGAGGATTCCATAGCAAACACCGGTGGCCCAGTCAGCCTGCAGATACCATAGGAAATGGTAGGCCAATCCGCATGCAGCTACCACACTAAGTGCGTGACGGGCCAATCAGCGGGCCAATCACTGTCTGGTGGACCAGGTGCAAACAGTGCTGGAAGCCCGCCGAGTCCGGCGCCGAGCGCTCGGCCGGGCGCTGGTGCGCATGCCTGTGATCCCGGCCACTCCGGAAAGCCCAAGGCGCCCGCAGAGCGCCCGAGGCGGCCCCGCGGCTCAAGTCGCGGGGAGGGGCCGGGAAGGAGTGCTCCCCCAGCATGCGTGGGGCCCGGGGTTCGATCCCACAGCCCCACACCCAGAAGCCGGGAGTGGCTCTGTGGCCCCAGTGGTGGAGCGCTAGCCTTGGGCCAGAAGCTCCGGGACAGCGCCCAGGCCCAGAGTTCAAGCCCAGGACTGGACAAAAAAAGAACTGAAGAGTGCAGGGACAGCGCCCCCAACAGAAAGCCGCCCCCCTCCAGGGCTGGCCTCGAACCCCGACGCTCCTGACGTCAGCCCCCGACTTAATTTTCCTCAAGGAGTATTTCTTCTTGGCTAGGTGCAAAGGAATTTAAACTGAACAGAACACCAGGAGCACATTTTATCACTCAGGTGAGAGCGATCCCCTCAGGAACCAGCGCCTTGGCCAGCTGGCCCTCGTTTGGGGGCAGGGCTGGCGATGGACCGGACGGCCCGGCGCTGGCCTTCGCGGACGCCACCTGGGGCACACAGGCCCAAGGAACAGGGAAGGACAGGGCTGGAGCGTCAGGTGCAGCTGGATCCAGGTCCCCGTCCGGCCCGGTGACTCAGGAGCCGGGCACGAGGCGATGTTTGTATCTGACTCATCTGAGGGAAGCTCCCTACTGGCTGGGCTGGAGCCTGCCTGGGTCACACGTCCCAGACTGGAGTTGGGGGGGGGGAGGGCGGGGGAGGCTGCCTGACAGCCTAAAATATAAGCCAAGCAAACCGGCCCACTCTGGCGTCTAAAGTTACCCGGGAGGCGCGGGTCGGGGCTCGCTGCCTGCAGAGGCGGGAGTCGAGCTGGCAAAGCAGGGCCACATACGGGGGTCCAGCGCCGGAGGTGTTTACGTGGGCGCCTCCAGCTGCTCAAGTGGAGTAAGTGACACAACGTTTAGCACTCAGGCTAGACCAGCACAGTGGCTAGACCATGTGCCCTGCGTTCCATCCCCAGCACTGAAACAAAACCTCCTTGGAAATAAGTGGAAAGTCAAGAGGGTTCGGCTTCGGGTGCGGCTGGGTCCAGGAGCCTGGGCCCTCCAGTCTCACTCCACCAAACAGCTTCGCTCCATCAGATTCTGCAGAAAGCTCGGGCCCGATGGCAGTGGGCTTCCGCATCTCACCTGAGCAGCCCATGACCTGCCTCGGGGTCCTGGTCTGGGCAGTGGAACTGGCCTTGTCGGTGTCCTGGCACCCCCTTCACAGAATCCCTGCCCCGGGGCACGGCGAGCTCTCCCCGAGGCGGGAGGATGTGGAGTTCCAGGCCAGCCTGGCCCAGGCTGGCAGGAGAGGTCCGACTCAGGCCTGGCCTCCCCCCAAAACAGAACAAAGACTCCGAAGCTGCACTGGCCGGGACTGGCCACCGGGGGTCACCCTCGCAGAGGCTTTGGCTCCCTTTGAGCCAAAGGCTTTCCACGTAGAAAAGTCTAGCAAAGTCCCACCAGGGAGGCAGAGGGACTCCCTCCCCCGCAGTGGCTCCCCCTGCCCTCGTCCATCCTCGGAGGCCCCCGGAGGCCCCCTGGGGCTCACCTCCAACTCTGCCATCCCCTTGGTGAGCCCCATCCTTATGAGGGGACCCTGCCGGTCAGGGGCGTCCCCCCCAGGGCCACCTGCATCCTGTGACCCAAGGGTGGCTTCCTGTTATCCTGCTCTTGGGTCTTTTTCAGACCTCAGGAGCCCATTCGACCACGGGGTGGGGGGGAAGGGCCCCAGGGACGGGTCCTGAGCTGGGACAGGTGGGACCAGGAGAGCAGATGGTCAGCCCCCCGGACCCTGGGCTGAGGACGCCCGCCTCCCGCCTCATCTGCTCACTAAACCCTGTGGGGACAGAACCTGGTCCCCAGGGATTCCCAGTGTCCCCTCCTGAGTGATCCCGGGGCGAGGGTCCGCAGGGGGCTTCGGAGGCCAGGCAGCCTGCAGACGCCCCGGGGCCTCCCTGGTTTCGCTCTCTCCTGTGTGTGTGCGGGGCAGGACCCCAAGGCCTGGGCGCTGCCACTGAGCGCTTTTGCTCAAGGCTGGCGCTCTACCGCTTGGGCCACAGCTCTGCTCCCTGCTTTTTGCTGGTCCCCTGGACATCAGGGTCTCAGGGTCTTTTCCTGCCGGAGGCCCCGGATGAGGGGCACTACCGAGGCCTGACTGCAAGGCCGAGTGCGGGGAGACACAATGGCCCCCGAGCATCTCCCCCAGGTCCCGGGGTGTCACCAGCACACCTGTGGGCCCCACCCCCAGGTCGTGGGGTCACCAGCACACCTGCGGGCCCCACCCCCAGGTCGTGGGGTCACCAGCACACCTGCAGGCCCCACCCCCAGGTGGTGGGGTCACCAGCACATCTGGGGGCCCCACCCCCAGGTCGCGGGGTCACCAGCACACCTGGGGGCCCCACCCCCAGGTCGCGGGGTCACCAGCACTTCTGGGGGCCCCACCCCCAGGTCGCGGGGTCACCAGCACTTCTGGGGGCCCCACCCCCAGGTCGTGGGGTCACCAGCACATCTGGGGGCCCAGCCCCAGGTCGCGGGGTCACCAGCACTTCTGGGGGCCCCACCCCCAGGTCGCGGGGTCACCAGCACTTCTGGGGGCCCCACCCCCAGGTCGTGGGGTCACCAGCACATCTGGGGGCCCCACCCCCAGGTCCCGGGGTGTCACCAGCACTTCTGCGGGCCCAGCCGCCCAAGGCCTCGTCCTCGCAGCCCCCCACCCCCGGCCGGTCCCGGGGCGCAGGGGGCGGCAGCCTGGCCGCCTGGACCCCCGCACAAAGCCCTGCGGGCCCCGCGTTCGCTCTCGGCGGCTTGTTACCCCCGACTACAACAGTCCTACAATAATACAAGGAAAATTCCAGAAATGAAGGGAGACCCTGAAGCGCCCCGGCCCCGCCCCCGAGGGCCACTCCCTAAACTGCGCACGCGCGCGCTCGCGCGTCCTTACCCACAATGCCCCCGAGCCGGCGCGCGCGGCTCTTCCGCCTTTGGCATCATCGCCGGCGCACTTTACGGCCCGGCGCGCTTTACGGCTCTCCGCCTCGTTTTCCCCCGGCCGGGAGCCCGGTCTATGCCCCGCCCTCCTCCTCGGCGATTGGCTCTCCGTCTCGCGAGCCCCACACTGACTGGCTCGCGTGGCTGCCACTCCTTTTCGGCCTAGTGGCGCGTAACGCGGCGGCGGCGAGCCGCGGGAGCCTGAGCGGTGGAAGTGGCCGGGCCGCCCGCACCGCGCCGGCGCCATGGTGAGGGCGAGGCGGCGCCGGCGGCCCGGGCCGCGCCGGGGGCGGGGAGGCGGAGGCGGGGCCCCGGCGGCGTCCGCGCGGGGCGGGCGGGCGGCGCGGGGTCCGCGGGGCTCGGGGCGGGCGCTCTGCCGCCGACACCGGCGCTTCCCGCTTCCCGCTGGTCCCGTGGGGACGGGAGTCTCGGCCTGTCCTGCCCGGGCTGGCTTCGAACCGCCGCCCGCAGGCCTCGGCCGCCTGCGTCGCCGGGCCTCGGCCTCCACCCAGCAGCCAGAGCAGCACTGGACCCTCAGCAAAGGTCCTGCTCTTCACCCGGCTTGTGTCACAGCTGGGCCTTCTGGAACCTTCCTGAGTCTGGCCTAGGGGCCCAGCTCACACACGGCTCCCACAAGCTGGGCTGGGTCTCCGGCCTGCATCCTCCCCTCCACCTGGCAGGGTCCAGCCTGGGCAGGGGAGGGTTCCGGTGTGGAGCCTAGGGGCAGCTGCCGCCCTGGTGTAGACGGCTCCTGGGTTCCATGGGGTAGATGACAACACCAAGGTGCCGGGGGCCGTGGGAGGCAGCCGGGCCCTGGTTACAAGGAGTGGGCCTGGGGCCTGCTGGTGTCCAGACCTCTCAGGCCGGGGTTTTCCATACACACCTTGTAACACCAGTGGGGAGCCCCCACACCCAGGTCCACGCGTGGCACTGCGGATGGGGGTGGACACGGCCTGGGGACATGGGACAGAAGGGACAGTGACCGTGGACCCCCTCCTCCCCCTGGCCGGTGTCCAGCACCAGGTGGGCGCGGCCTGGAGCTGGGCTGGCCCTGACCCCTGTCTCCTTGCAGCTGCCCCTGTCCTTGCTGAAGACAGCTCAGAACCACCCCATGGTGAGTGGGCACCCTCCTGCGTGTCCCTCCACGGCCCAGCCTGGGGCCCTGGGCACAGCCCACCACCCTCTACCACCCTCTCTCCCCTGCAGCTGGTGGAGCTGAAGAATGGGGAGACGTACAATGGGCACCTGGTGAGCTGTGACAATTGGATGAACATCAACCTGCGGGAGGTGATCTGCACGTCCCGGGTGAGCGTGTGTGCATGCGTGCGCACACATGTGTGCATGCGTGTGTGATCTGCAGGTCCCGGGTGAGCGTGTGTGTGTGTGTGTGTGTGAGTGATCTGCAGGTCCTGGGTGAGCGTGTGTGCATGCGTGCGCACATTGCAGGGGGAGTGTGGGGTGGGAGGAAGGGCAGGGCGGCCCCACGCTCACATGCCATGCAGCCGGCTTGGGTCACAGCCGTGGCTTGGTGTCGGGCGTTGGAATGTTGCGGGGTCTGGACTCCTGTGTGGCCCTTGCGTGAGGAGTGGGCAGTGTGGTACCCCTGGTGCTCAGTGCTGCCCACAGCGCAGACCCCGGGCAGGGGCCGAGGCCGGGCACCTGCTGACTGAGGGCCTGGCGCGTGGCAGGATGGGGACAAGTTCTGGCGCATGCCCGAGTGCTACATCAGGGGCAGCACCATCAAGTACCTGCGCATCCCGGATGAGATCATCGACATGGTGAAGGAGGAGGTGGCGGCCAAGGGCCGCGGGCGCGGCGGCCTGCAGCAGCAGAAGCAGCAGAAGGGCCGGGGCCTGGGCAGTGCAGGCCGAGGTAGGTGGGTGATGAGGTGGGGGCGCCACTGGCCGGCATGCCGGGATCTGGCGGGGCGGGGGGACGCCACCACTGGCCAGCACACCTCCCTGGCGCGGGCTTCACCCTGCCCCAGGCTTGGCCTCCCTGTGTGGTAAGGGTCAGGCCGTAGGCAGCCGTGGGGGCTGGTGGCAGGGACCAGGCCCCGGGGGACTGCGGGGGGCACATCTCCCTCGCTGGGTCCAGCCCCAGGGTGCTCCTCACGTCAGAGACGGGAGCCCTGCAAGGTGGGGCTCATGTCCCCGTGGAGGCTGAGTGTGGGGCAGCCTTGGCTGGAGCGCCCTCGCACACCCTGGCCGCCCGGGTAGGGTGCGCCCCCTCACCCCCGGGGGGGAGCCCCCACTCACCGTGCCCCTGCCCACAGGTGTGTTTGGGGGCCGGGGCCGCGGCGGGATCCCAGGCACAGGCCGCGGGCAGCCTGAGAAGAAGCCGGGCAGGCAGGCGGGCAAGCAGTGAGGGCGCGTCGGAGCCTCTGTGGGACCCTGTTTTCCTGTTTGAGCCCGTCTGCACCCACGGGACTAGGGGTATGGCAAGTTTGCGGGCCCCGCAGCAGAGTTTCTGGAACGTTCCACATGAGTGTCCGCGGGTGTCTGAGCCCCACTGTGGTGGTGGTCATTCTCCTGTGGGAGCCACTCACTCCTGTGGCCGGCAGGGCCAGGTCTTTATTTTCAGCTGGTACCCCAAGACTGAGCCAGAAGGGTCCCAGTCACCCTGAGTTGCCTTCCAAAAGCACAGGTCCAGCCTGTACCTCCCCCTCTCCGTGGCAAAATAAAGCATCTATGTTGACTAAAGGGGGGTTGCTTTGCGTATTTATTTAGTGCCGGTCCTGAGCTTGGAGCTCAGGGCCTGCATGCTGTCCCTTTGTCCCTCAGGGCTGCTCTACTGTTGGAGCCTCAGCTCCATCTATGGCTTTTTGGTGGTTCTAGGGCTGAGTCTCATGGTCTTCCTGCCCGGGCTGGCCTTGTGCCGTGATCCTCAGATCTCAGCCTCCTGGGTCCTGGAATTATGAGCTGCCAATGCAGTGCGTGGTTTTAATCAGACACGGCTGAAAACAAAAGCTTTCTAACATCAAAAGCAATGTTTCCCCCACCATTATTATTATAAGTTCGTTCCCTGCCTGCCTCCTTCCAGGAGCGTGGGGGCCCGAGTGGGGGGGGGCACGTGGGTGTGGGTGTCCCCCGGTCTCAGCACCAGGTTGCCACGCGCGCTGGCCGGCCACCCCCGCCCAGCGCAGAGGCCTCTGCCTGGCAGGTTCCTGGTTCCAGGTCGGCCTGGGCCTGCCAGGAGCGTCCTGGAGGCCCTGCCTGCTCCCCTCTTTTTGTTGTGGTTGTCGGTCCTGGGTCTTGAACTCTAGGCCTGGGCGCTGTCCCTGCACTCTTCAGCTCAAGGCGAGTGCTCTACCGCTTGAGCCACAGCGCCACTTCTGGTTTTCTGGTGGTTTATTGGAGATCAGAGTCTCATGAACTTTCCTGACCGTGCTGGCTTTGAACTGTGATTCTCAGATCTCACCTCCTGAGTAGCTGGGGTGACAGGCCTGAGCCACCATCCTCAGCCCCTAGAGACAAGGCCCCAGGGCTGGCTCAGGCCCAGGCCAGAGGACCTGAGGACAGCAGGTCCCAGCGGCTGCCTGGGGCCACACACATGTGTCAGTGCCTGCAGGGGCTGCTCCTGGGAGGTGTGGAGGCAGCCAACAGCCAACCGGCCCAAGGCCCTGCCAGCCCCTGCCCAGCGCCCATGCAGGCTGGGGGTGTGGGGGGTGCTGGGGCCTGCACGGGGCCTCACAGGCGGTGCCCTGCCCTGTCCCCAGCTCACAGCTTGATGCCACCCATTGGCCAGGCAGACACCCCACCCCAGCCTGGGGGAGGCATGGGGAGGTGGTCAAGGAGGAGGGGGAGGGAGGCTCTGGGCTGGCTCCCTGCCTAGCAGGCTGGGTTCAAAGGTCAGCCCCACCTACAGCTGACCTCACCTCACTCCCCCACCATGTCCCAACCCCAGACGCTGCCCCTCCCCCTGGCCTCCGGGCCCTGAGCCCAGAGGCGGGGGGGGGGGGGGGGGCCTGGCCTGCGTCATCCCAGCCTCCAGCCCCCACCCTGGGCTGTGCACAGGGCTCTGCCCCCTGCCCCAGGACAGCCCTGCTCTGAAGCCGGTTTCCAGAAACTTCTGTGGGGAGCACAGGTCCCCTCTTTTCCCCCACTGGCTGCGGAAGGCCTCGGCGTCAGCAGGGAAACCGAAAGTGCAGCCACTTCCCCAACCTGGGCTTCCAGATCCTTCTGTCAGCAGGCCTGCCTGACACCAGACAGTGTCTCTCTTCCTGCCGGCCATCATTTGGGACCCTCCGCCGCCTGCAGCCCAAGCCTGGCCCAGCCCCCACAGCCCTCAGCCTGGCAGACCTGGGGACCAGACGCGAGGGGGAGGGGCCATGCCAAGCCCCCCCCACCCAGTGAGCAGGGGGCGGGGAGACCCTGCTGTAACTGGCCGTCAGAACGAGCAGTGGGCCTTGGGGTCTGGGAACTCAGCAGCCGTCCAGAGCCCCCCCAGCCGCCCCAGGGCCCCGGGATGGAGAGGAGCCGGGTGACGCCCCACCCCCGAGATCCCAGCAGCGGGCCGGCCCAGCCCCCGCTGGTTTTCTCCTGGGCTGAGAACTCTGGGCAGCACCCAGCCCACCATGCCTGCCAGAAAAAAAACACTCGGAAAGCAGGAGGCCCCCCACAAGGGCCACCCCCGTGCCTCAGTTTCCCGGCTGGCCCGTGGGGCTCGAAGCACCCCTGCTGGGGAGAAGCCGGTGACCATTTCCAGACCGCTGTGCCCACAGGAGCGTTGTCTACGGGCACCCCGCGACCTCCTGCGTCCTCCTTGGCCTTGGCCGGCCAAGGGGCCCGGGCACCAACCCCCCACCCCACACCTAAGCCCGGGGCCGCCTGACTCACCCGGGCCCAGCTGGCCACCGCCCAGGGGCGAGCCGGGAAATCGCTCAGGCCACATTCAAACCTAAAAATACCCATGCCCTGCCAGCCAAGGCCCCCCAGCCCCCCGAGGCCTGGCCTGCAGGGCGCACCGCCACCCCGCCACCCCACACACCGCCAGGCACGCCTGTCCCCCTCAGCCATTCGGGAGGCGAAGAGCTGAGGATGATGCTTCCAGACCCGCCCAGGCATCTAGCCTTGAGCAGAGAAAGCCCAGAGTCAGCGCCCAGGACCTGAGTTCAAGCCCCAGCCCCAGCCCACACAGACATGTGCCTGAAGGGGGACCCACCTGGGTCCCAGTGCCCCCCATTGCCACCTCTCTCGTGAATCCTTTTCCCTCCCCAGTGGGTTGACTGTCCCCTCGGGCACCCAA